CCAGGCGGCTGGGGCCAGGAGCAGCGGACCCGGGCCAACCTGGCAGCAGCAGGGGTTGGGAGCAGGCTTGGGGCCAATGCAGGGGAGGGGAGGGGGGCCTGCTCAAGGGGGTCCTGCTCTTCCCCCCCTCTGCCACCAGGTCAATCATGCAGGTGGCGATGATGGAAGGGGGGAGGGGCAGGTCGAGGCCAGCGCCAGTGGCCTCGCCCCTCTGCAGCGTCCTGACCTCACTCTCCCCCTGGGCCGCTTCAAGCAATAAGGGGTGTGAGGCCAGCTCCGGTGGCTGGCCCCCCCACTCCATCGTCACCACCTGCAGGGAGCAGAGTGGGGGGCAACAGATGGCCTTACCCCCCACCCCCACATCATGGCAGTGCATTGCTACCTGTCCAAATGCTTCTTTGCACTGATTGGCTATTTGTCAGCCAATCAGAGTGCTAATAAAGCATTATGGACAGGCAGATTAAGGCTTTTATAACTTTTTATACACACACACACACACACACACACACACACACACACACACACACACACACGAGAGAGAGAGATATCTACAGAGAGATCTTTCATTTTTTTTTTTTATATATCTATAGATATCTATCTATCTATCTAGAGACCTATCTGTCCATCTCTCTCTCCACACACACACACACACACACACACACACACACACACACAGGCAGAGGGATCTATATATCTATATCCATTTAACACATTGTTTTATTGATATATTTGAAATTTTAAAGCAATTTGGAAGCCTACCAGTGCGTCAATCACTATAATAAAATAAATTCTAAATACCTATAAATTTTGGCATTTGATTTTGGGTTTTTTTATTATGGAAAATCTGAGCTTCCCCTGCCCGCTTTGCGCACCATGATACAGGTCCAGGCCCCTCACTGCTCCCCCCCACCCCATATGCTCCCTCCGAGCCCTGCTGGATGGGGCCCCCAGCTGCCAGGGCTACAGGGACCCAGATCTGCAGCCCCCTGCAGCTGTGCCCAAATCCTTGCTGCCTCCTGTGGGAGGTGGCGGCTGCTACAGCAGAGCCCTCCCCCACTGGCGGCGCAGCCAGAGCAGAGCCTGTGGTGGGGGGTGGGAACAGGTTGGGGCTTTCCTCTTCAGGCTCAGGCTCCATGCCCTGCTGCCCTGAAAACCATAGATCTGTCTTTCAGTCTTACCATCAACCCTTTAATATAACTGTACGCCACCCCCTGGGGACAACTGTTAACTGCAATAGAAATGGTGAGAGAAAAAACAGTTTTCAGAGGGCTAGCAGAAGCCCTGAAAATAGTGGGAACTAGTCAGTTTCAGGGCTGCCATAGCACTGACAGCTAATTAAACACCACTGATTAAGTATACCATGTTGTCAGTGCTGTGGTTTTAGCAGCCCCCACACTGTCTAGCTTGCTTCATTTTCAAAGCATTTACCAGTAGTTTCATTGCTATTGCCAGCTTTCTTCTTTGAAAAAAAAAAAAAGTTCTACCTACATTTTAGAGGTGTCTGGAAAACAACCAGTATTTCATAAAACACTAATGTTCAACATTACTTTTCCCTTTGTTTCAGAATCGTTTGTGGAAAGTAGGAGGAGAGAGAAAAATAAGAATATCCAAGCAGCCAAGAGATTGTGGCACTAATTCAGCAACGTAGACAATTCAAGTTCAAATCCTGTCTGTTTACAAGAGACTTGGCCCTGGGTTCTCCCATGTCCCAAGTGACCACTAGCTTTAAAGAGAGAGCTAGTATCTGTCTCTCTCCCAATGATAATTTATTTATACAAAAATTAACACAGCTTTAACAGGAAGGGGCAAGAGAAAATGCTATTATTGTGCATTGGTATGCGTACTAACTCAGGTTAAGTCCTGAAAAATATGCCTGATAAAAGTTTCATTCAAGCTAACACATTTTGTTGAAGTGATAGCTTTTCACTGAAATCAGTTTCTTTTGATAAAACCATTTCAATGAAAAATTTCCAACTAGTTTTACTTTTAAATAGTGAAACAACAGAAGGAAGAGTAGTAGCTTGTTCCTGCTGCTTGATAATTCACAAGGGGGCAGCATTTCTTTACAATTCATTTTGTTGTAGGTTTACTAGTAGGTCTGGTAGTGTGGAATGCTAAAAAACAAAAAAAATTAATTTCCTTAGATTTTTCAGGAAATTTGCATGTTCCTATTAGATGTATGGCCAAGTTTATTAATTAGCTAGTATTTCCAAGCTACGCTTTCTGAACAATATCAACACTGCAGTAATCAGAACACAGGCAAACATTTAATAAAGCATGTTTTCAAAGGGTTAAACCACTTCTTTCCATTGAACATATCAAGGAAAACTAAATGTAATGCCAGTTCATGGGTTAGTACTTTTGACCAGTATAAGGCTAGCATGACAAACTATGTGAAAGAATAAATACCTTCTTCATCTTCCCATTCTAGGTCTAGTGAAGTGCTGTCATCATTTCCACTTGTTGATTTTGTTTTGGTCATTAAATCACAGCTGCTCTCCGTGTTTGGGGTCAGAACAGTAGCATCAGATGAAAGTCCTACATCAAAAATGTATATTTAACACACACATGTTCTTGGCTTCAAGATTTAACAGGAAGAGCTACCACTTTGACAGTGACTTTTACTCAAGATCTACTGTATTTACTAGAACCCAAGACAAGGGTCCCTCCCTCCGAACCCCATTTAACATGGGGAAAGAAGCTCTTTATCCTGCATTCAAGTAGAAGGCAGAGGGTGGGGGGGGGCAGGTGGATGCTGAAGCTCTGACTTTAGTGCCTACCCAGGCCCAGAGCTGCTGCCGACCCCATACTTACTCGGTTCCCCGTTTTCCCCTCCACTGCCACTATTTAGAAGTATACGGTGATTTAAATAGACAATGTAACAACATACAAGTTAAAATCTAAGCATTATCAATGATCAATTCTAATTCACTTAAGTGTGCCATGCATATAAAGCAGGGGTGGGCAAAATGTGGCCCGGGGGCCGGATGCGGCCCGCCAGGCCATTCTATCCGGCCTGCAGGGCCCCTAAAAAATTTAGAAAATTAATATTAATCTGCCCTGGGCTGCCTCTCATGCAGCCCTCGATGGCTTGCTGAAACTCAGTAAGTGGCCCTCTGCCCAAAATAATTGCCCGCCCTGATATAAAGCAACTTTTCTTACAACACATCAAATTCATATACACTTTATTTTACCAGAAGGAACTTCTGCCTGAATGCTGGATACAGTCTGAACATCTGCCTGTGATGCACAAGAGACGTACCTAGAGATGCCTCAAAAGCTTAAAAAAAAAAAAAAGGCAAGGATACACAGTCCTACCTGGTCTTATTCAGAAAGTATAGATAAAAAACAGGGCAAAGTAAAACTTCTCCTTGGAGAATGATAGTCATTCAGTCTGCTCCCTCAAGATATTTAGCAAACAATTAACAACAACACCAAAAAAAGCAACAAGAGACTTACTACTACTACGAAATGCTTCATATTGGAACTTTGTATTTCTCAAATAAGAATCAAAATCCTCCTCTGCCACTGAGCTGTAAAAACAATACATTATTAGCATCACTAACTCCTCTGGATAATGTGTGGCATTTACAGTTCTTCAGAATGTATCTAGGGTTATCATTTTTAAGTCTCTGTGAATGGTCATCTTTTAGTGAGTCCTCACCCGGCACCTGATTGTGGCCCTACCTAAATACTTAATTATAAAGTTGATGGAAGAAAAAATGAGCTTATGTAAAACTATCATGTTTATATAAACATCATTTTCACTCCCACTATTCCAAGTCTGCATCTCTGTCTTCTAAGACGGGCAAATGCCTTCCTAATTCATTTATTTTACACTTGACTAATCTATAGTTACGACACAAATGTACAATTTAAGTCATTAAGAACACCACACTGGGGGAGGGGGATAATTTAGGTACTTTGAAGTGGGATGGAGTTTTGTTTGCACAATTTTAGTAACCCCAGTGAAATGCAGTACAACATAGATACATGGATGACTATTTCCCCCCCTTGCTAAAAAAAAAAGTGTACGGGCTATATAAGAGGGCTGCTGAAAACACTTTATTATTCCCTAACAATTAAAAAAAAACAACTTTGTTTCATGTCTTACCTTTGATATTCTCCATTATTACTCACTTGGCTTCTCTGCATTATCCTTTGTAGTCTATGATGCTACCAAAAAAAAGTGTACATTGCCATCTATCAGCAAGTTTTCAAGAATGAAACAGACTTAACATTATTTTTAAATGTCATACCATGACAAGTTGCTTTTTCCTTAGAATCTACCACCTCCTAGTTAGAAGGCCTAAAATTTTATACCAGCTCCCCTAATTTAGGGTAATCATTATAAAACTTTACCTAAGTAAGCATCTGATTGAAAAAGTCACAAGTATGTAATGGATACAAGCAACTCTTTTCTTCCTTATCCCAGAGGCAGTCTTTGTAACAATTCCACATCTTAATGGAAAAGGCAAGAGCCTTCTAGCACATTTTGTGTGCAAATTTGATCATGAGATGCAGCCTGCTCACAAACTACTTTTATTCCTTCTGTTTATTGTATCCTCAGCACAGCCAGTAAGGTTTTCTAGAAGGAGCTGAGATTTGAAGATCTGTTTGGTTTATTCTGTCCTTAGAATGTGGTCAATAGGTAACACCGAAGCTGACATACTAATGAAATCTACTTCTAAAAAGAGAAAAATATATTTCCTTACATGCTATTTTACTTCAGCACAAAGGAATACTGACACATTGCAAGTGTTTGATTTATATGAGCAGAAGCTTTATTTTGTTGTGGTCAAAGCTTATTGATTTGTTTAAATTCTGCAGTTTACAGCCTTCATTATATACGATTATGCAAGGAGGGTTTGAAAAAAAAAGGGACAGACAGTCTAATAAAATAATCCCTTTTTCAGCCCCAAGAAGCAGGTTTAACTCCTTCTTGATGTTTTAAGTTGCCTGGCATTTTCTTCCTCAGACCTCTTGGACAAAAAAATCTGGTAATATATTTTAAAGGTAAACTGTTTCTCCCATAATAAGATTATTTAAAAAAAGCTAAAAGTGAAATTAGGATTTGATTACACAGACACACACAGTTTGCATATTTACGCAGATGTATAATAAAGAGAAGAGCAAAGAAAAGTGGGGATAGTGGAAATATGTAAAACGAAAGATTTATGTAAGCACTCACTCTAACATGACCAGTAGGATTCTTTCTGGTTGGCTGAATACATCTATGAAAATATATTACTTAACACGATTATAAGTTATAACTTCTTCTTTTAGCAGAGTTCCTACAACACTTAGCGAACACTGCTGCATAACTAGACAATTTTCTGATGAATTGGAAAGTTATGGAATGCCTTCCTTTGCCACAATTCCATGATGTTATTTGGGTGCAGAATTTGGTTTGGAGGGAGGAAAGGAAAGGATAACACTGCCAGTGACCTAATGAAGTCAACTTTGATATTAGCTACTGGTGTAGCTATAGCAATAGATCCATCTTTAAATTTGTTAAAGTAGCTTCTCACAAATTCTTTGAAGTTCTCTTTATGTGGATCCAGCACAAACATCAAGAAAAGCAGCAAACTGATAAGTCTCAGGACATCGTTTTGCTTATATAACGCCTAGTTAAACAATTTTTGTCACAGGGGCCACCTATACACGCGCCCGACACCTGATCCGACGTGTTCTAAATAGATTTGATTAATTGAATCTGCTGCAGCAGCCTCAGCAGCATGTGTAATTCAGCATCCCCATACTTCAAAATGGTGGCCAGGGTGTATAACTAAAGCTTGTTCAAGCATTCCCACCGCCATTTGGAAGTGTAGGACACTGAATATATGAAACACTGTGGGTGCTTTAATTAGAGTAGCTCCCAAGAGCCACTCTAATTAGAGTATCCCCCCTTCTCCCCTCCCTCGCCCACTTCGAAGCACTTGTAAAGACACCCACTGTGACTACTAGTAGAATCAAATGATCCACTTAAGGCATATTTAAGATAAATAACAGTGTCCAAATCAGATTCATAATACTATATTTCCAATTAAAAACTAGTTTGTTGATTTAGTAGAACAGTGTTTGCCAGAAAGTACACAGAAACCAACATTTGCTGCTGATTAGTATGTATTATGAACCGATTTCCAGTTCATCATGTCAATGTTACAACTTAAGGTCATATTCCCAAGATGTACTTTATAGAATAGTTTTAAAAAAATTGTGTACTCTTTTGTCTAGCTGCAGCTACCAAATAATTTTTGATAATAAAAATCACTTAAAATCTTGTGATCAGACCTAAGGAAGAATGTCTTCCATTCAACCACATAGTTGATCCAATAATAGATCTCACCCAATGAAATCCTTGCTTCTCGCATAATTTATGGACAATCATGGTTACAACACTCTTACGTGACCTGAAATATTTTGAAAGATTAACTGACTTCCTCCTATCCCTCTCCACTTCATATTGATTAATGTGATTTGGAGTCCCTTTGCAAGGAATGTAATTTTATTAAAAATAAAAGATGTATTACAGAAGTCTTAAGAAGGTCTATTTTAAGCACAGAAAGGAGCAGAAACAAAAAACAAATTCCAGAAGTGTAGTCAGTCTTAAAAGATCAAGAAAGAAGAGACAACATGGTACCAGGATAAGAAAAAAATGTAGACTAGAAAGACACCTGGAATTTATGGGAACACGTGATAATGGAAGACAACTAGAATTCATCCTCGCCTTATAGTATCTAATAAATTGTACTCCAAATATTATAGTTGTTAGACTTGTAAGACTGAAGATTTGATGAACTGTTCTGCCATGGTATCTCGTGACTGCATGGATTCTTTTCTTCTGAGGTGATACATGGACTGATAAAAATTGCTTAAAAGTAACACATCAGTGTTCAGGAAGAAGTCCTGTTCTCCTGGATATATTGTGACCACAGCCACAAATTTCACTTAAATTGACCCCATCACCCCATATAAATTAAAGTATGTTCAAACTGATGGTGAAAAAAAAATCAGATGAAACATTTACATACTTGCAATCTTTCAACAATGTTATCACATTCTTCAGTGAGGTGTACCATTAAAAAAAAAAAAAGGCATGCTGGATTTTTAACCCAGAGTTACTATTCATAAAACTGTACCCATATGAAGAACTAAAAGCAGTAAGTATTAGAAGACCAACCAGCAACTGCTCTCTGAATAACAAAAGTATATATATGAATACACCCAATTTAAGTGAAGGTTAATGAAAATGCCCAGAGCGATAAGCACCAGCTATTTAACATCACTGTTCATAAGCATAGCTGCATTATACAAAATGGGAGCTACTCTGCTAAAAATACTTGATGCTAGGATTGCAGGCACTACACAGGGAAACAGGCACTGCTGCCAGCCAAACTCTTCTCAGATGCAACTTCTGAGAAAATAAAACTGTGTACACACAAAAACAGAACAGCAGCTCTGATATATATTGGGGTTTTTTTCCCCTCACCTCCAAAAGCTTTTTCTGCTTTGCTGCCCTGGCTGCTTCACGCTGTGCAGCATATAAAGCCTCTTCTTCTATTCTTAACTTCTCCTCTTGTAAGGCTAACTGTATATAAACAAAATAATAAGGGTTAACAAAAGCAGAACCTATCTATCTGCCTATAAATACAAACATAAGCTTATTAAATTAAAAGAAAACGTTACTCATGAAGACAAACAAAAAATAAAACTGACCACAACACAATCACCAGAAACTTTGATTATCTACAGTATTGTAATTTGCTTATAAGAAAAAAAACTAATGACTTGTTAAATGGACACTCTGAAAACAATGCAATGTTTTAAATGCATATGTAAGTTTTATGAAGAACACTATAGTGTAAGGTAGAAAATGTCAAACATGAAGCATCTGAATTTCATTTAAATAAAGAGATTTAATCTAAAGTGATCCCTAATCCCCACATCATATTCAGTGAGTTGCCACAACAGATTAAGATGGGTACATTAAGTTTTTCATTAACAACATTTTTCCTTTCTCCCTGACCACCACACACAGCTCACTCTGCTCTCCCAAGGAAAAAACTGTTAAAATTTAAGTGAACATTATAAAAACTATTTCTTTCTTAAGCATATGAAAAAATAATGCAAAAGCAATTTTCACCACAAATTAAAAGGTCACGTTCTTTGAGTTTTTTTAAGTAGACCATTATTTTTAATCATTAGACTACCCAAGTAATACAAACCACTGCAATTATTTACCTCGGACTGAAGTTTCACATCAACTGCTCTTTGTTTTTCAGCAATGGACTCATAATGCCTCTCTCTCAGATTGGCAATTTCTTCCTCAGTCAGAGGTCTGCAAGAGGGAGGAAAAAAAGGTGGCATACTTTAGCTCTAAGTAAACTGTAGTTGGAGACAAGAGACAAGCCTAATAAATGACAGTTAATTTGTGTCTCTAAACTGTTCAAACAGCCTTGTTTCTCATGGTCTAATTTGACTGTTTTCTTAATCCAAACATAGTAGGAAGCTAAAAGTACAATTCGCATCCAAGCAGTTTAAAGCCCCAATGAACTGAAGGCAAGTCATTCACTGTGGGTGCCTATACACAAGCATGGAGGCTGCTCTGATGCACTGTAATTCTAGTATGTCAGAGCAGACTTGATTAATGGAATAATCGAATGGACTCGATTAATTGAGTCTGCTGGAGCGTGGCAATTACCATGCTTCAGCAGCCTCCTGCGTCTCGTGTATCAGCATCCACGTGCATAAAATTGGCAGCAGGAGTACTTGAACTAAAGCTTGTTTGAAGAGCTTTAGTTCAAGCATCCCCGCCACCATTTTTAAGCCTGGGGAGCTGATACACAAGACACAGCAGTACTTTAATTAGAGTGACTCTCCACTCTAATTAAGAAGAGTTGACCCCCTCCTAACTCCTGGAGCACATGTAAAAGTGCCTTGTGTTTCCTCTCTTCCTCTCAAACATCACTATTTGTCCTGCATGTTGAGACAACGAAAACACCTTTTGTTAGAAAAAAGTTCAAATGAAATTTATAAAATTAAATTATAAAATTAAATTTATAAAATTAATACATTCTCCAACAGGTAGACTGGCAGACTAAAATTCCCTCCCCACTCCTTAAAGTAGTGGAGCTAAAACTGGCAAACGACTGAATGTGTGAAACAGATTACTGTACTTATTCAGTTCCAGAATGAGGTTTTCCCCTTGTTCAACAAGGGGAAAACAAAGCGTGGTCTCAGAATCAAGTATCAGACTGCTTCACCTGGGAGCTCTGGGAAGCAGCAGTACAGGGAGCCTGGTTTGACCAGGACAGCATCAGCAGCTGTCAAGTTCCTCCTCTCAGCCTGGATCCCCTCTCTCTCTGCAAGGGAGCAGACACTGGAAGGAAGAATCTGCACACTGTTGCCGTTGTCCCTGGCTGAGCTGGGTTCCCTGCACAGTTCCTCCCCACAGCTCCTACCTGGACCAGTGTACACCCAGCTGACACAGGCATGGGGGCAGCCCAGAGCTGCTCCTGTCCAAGCTGCAGGGAGAAGCTGAAGCAGGATGCAGCTTCCTCCTTCCAGCCTGCTCTCACAGCACATGAGGGAGACTTGGCGGGGTGAGTATTGGGCAAAATGTGCAGGGCAGGCAGAAGTGATGCTACAAACATAATCACTTTTGCACTGCTAGCATGCAGCAAAACTACACCTCCAAGATACAAGTTTAAAGGAGAGACAAGATAAAACAAACAACAAAATGGTAACGGAAGTGGAATATAGAGAATTTCTGCACTGCTTTACCTTAGTACAACTGAAGAAAGTTATTAACTTTAATTTTTATACCTATATTTTAAACATGCTAGCAGTCTTGCTGTATAGATATTAAGCTTTGGTTTATTTATCGGCATATTAATTTAGCTGTTTAAGACTATTTTTATGCACAATCATTTAATGCATTTTTAAACAATACCTATTAATGAAGAAAGTTAAATACATTTGAAAAAAAACAAATGTCACAGCCTTTCAATGAAGGAAGTGGAAGCATCAAAAACTAATGCAAGATATTAGATGGTTTTCCTGTTCCAGACTAAAGCAATATTGTCATTTCATTCTAAATTGTCCAATGTTGCATTACATTTAATAAACTATTAGAAACAGAAATATAAATTAATAAAATTACCCATTTAGAAGCATATAATAGAGATTTCTGAAACAGACAGCTGAGTGTTAGTTCTGACAGGTAAACTCAGACCTTCACATACATGACAGAGGAGACAGAAAAGTTAATCAGGAAAAAAGCACTTGAGACAAATAATTCTTACCTCTGACTGCTTCCTGGGCTCTCCCCCTATGATTTAAATTATAAATACAAATTAAACATTTAAATCCAAGTAATTAAAAGAGGCATGTTACCCAATTAATCTTTAAAATAGAAACAAGTCAATGTGCATTTGACCTTTTTACTGGAGTAGATGGATGCAAAGAGTTTCATTACTGGCTACTGAAAATACCTCCAGAACGCTGAGGACTTTGCAATAAAGTTCCACCCTCCTCATTCCAATCATCTGCTTAGCTACTCAAGTTTTACCCAGATGTGAACCACACCTGGAACAAGAGTGTTTTTGGTCCTTATGAAAAACACTCATTTTCTTTGATGGACTGGGGAACTTTACAATTTTTTTTTTTTAAGATTATATTAACAACACTGTCTATCATTATTAGGATGAACTTGCTTGTCACTGAATTTGTAAAGCTTATTTTGGACATTCTTTCGAATAGCTCACAGCTCTAGTAAGTCAATTTATTCTGTCCCTTATCTCCTCAGCAAAACAACTTACATAATTCATGCCCCTATCTGATTCAGACAAAGTACCTTTCGGTACATCTTTCCATTCCATACTTCTACATCAGTGTTTTTCAACCTGTGGTCTGCAGACCCCTGGGGGCCCAAAGACAATGTCCAAGTGGTCCACGAAAGAGGACTATGATCAATCAAAAGTATGTGAATACCCACACTTGCAATTAAAAGAGGTCCGCACCTCCATCTGAAATTTCCAAAGGGGTCCACACCTCCATTTGAAATTTCTTAAGGGTCCGCAAATGAGAAAAGGTTGTAGAACAGTGGTTTTCATCACTGATCTGTTCATCTAATTCTCCATTACAAAGGGAGAAGAGACCTAAGCAATCCCTTCCCAGGGGAGGCTGCAATTTCCTAGCTTGTCTTGTTCTAGAAAAGTATAGATTAGAACTTTATCTAAACACTTCTGAAGAGCTAGATCAGAAAGAATTTTCCTTTCGGCTTTTGTGCTTGTTGCTCTTTGTTTCTTGTTTTTGATGCTGTGCAGTAGAACTAAACACTACAAATACCTCAGCAAAGAAATTTGCTCCAGTCAAGGCAGTAGTATCTTTTTGGCAGATTTAGGACTATTAGATTTGAATATCTTCATTAGGAATTTATTAGGCTAAGTTTAAAAAGGTATACAATTATGTAAACTGGACAAAAAAAAGCTGTACAGCAGAAGTCCTTTTCCCATACGACTGCAGATATAGAATCAATAAGAAACTAATGAACTGTATAATCAGCGAACTACCTCCTTGCATTTGGCTTAAGAAATGAAGTTCAGGGCACAAGAGAGCAATTCTAAGGCACGTGCTACTAGAAGGGGTTCAGTACAACCTCCAAAGCTTCTATAAAAGTTCAAATTAGAGCCTGTAATAGCTTAGGGCCCAAACTAGCATTCCTCAAATTGCCCATATAAACACAGTATTGACAATGTTACTGCTCTTACAATGTTTCAGTTAACCAACTATTTTTTAGTTATGGACACACACACACACACACACACACACACACACACACACACACACACACACACACACACACACTTCTGAATAATTTGCTTTCAAAATACCCACAACTCCTCCCCTCTCCCAAAGGACTGCAAGAATCTGTGCTTTTTCTTTGCTATCCCTCTTCCACTCAAAAACTGTTCCCAATCAGAAGAATATTATTTACAGTACTAGTATTCTGGGGAAGGAAACTTAATGGTTTAAATAGCAGCAATTCCATTCCAAATAGGTCGATGCATGAGTTGATTACAACTAGGTTGGAGATATTGATCTTAGGACTACATATATTTATAAAAAACATGTTTTACAACTAGGTTTTATAATACAGCACAGAAATACTTACCTCATCACTTTCCACTAGATTTTCAAACTGCAAAGAGAAAAAAAAAAAAAGATTTATTGATAAGCCTGGCCATTCTGATATACTGTACTTCTTTGAATATAACATACTTATTTGTTTGGTTTATGTTGCAGAAATGTTACACAAAGACTAAATATTTAATTATCGAAATAACTGCAGAAAATAGATATTATGTTTAGCCTGATCAACATCCCTACAAAACCTAATAACCAGGGATCTGGGTTTTCCGTTTCCTGCAAAAAACCAGAAAAAAATGTGGATTTTCCCTTTTAACTGAGAAAAGCTCAGATTTTTCATTTTAATGGAGAAACATGCAGATTTGTCACTTTTGCAAAGAGCTAAAGAGCTCCCTGCAGGCTGGCAGAGTCCCAGAGGGGGCAGGAGGGCAGTCAGGCAGAGGGTGCCCTGTGCATGTATATGGCAGCCTGGAGAGCAGCTCCCTCGGGTACGATTCACAGGGGGAGGGGGGGACTGAGGACCCCATAGGGAGGGAGTTGGGTAGGGCTGGGGCTAGTCCATCTGGACCAGGGTGTGTGGAGCTTAGGGCCCAGGACTGGAATGAGTGGCTGTAGGGCCCTGGCAGGAAGTGGGACAGAGCTGCATGCGACTCATTGTGGGGGGCAGAAACGACGACAACGATGGGACAACTGGCTCCCCACCACTGCATGCACTCCCAGGGGACATAAGGGGCACATACCCCTCAGATTTGTGCGCTGGGTAGCCTAGCCACTGTGAGCTCAGGCTCCCAGTCCTGCTGCCCTCCTCCCCACAGGGCCTCCACAGCCCAGCATGGCAGAGTGGGGATGTTCCTTGCTGCTGCAAGCCCATGCCTGGCAGCAGCGGGGATGGCAGTGAGGAATTATGCCCCTTGCTGCTGCCGGGCGGACAGGGGCCGCCTCACCATGGTGGCGTGGGGCTCCTGGCAGTGGCACCAAGCTTCCCTGGTCATTCCCACTCTGCCCTGTCATGCCAGGTCCCACCCACTGGGCTGCGGAGGCCCTGGCAAAGGACAGCGGGGCAGGGTGCTCGTGCCTGCAGCATGCAGCACCCCGCAGCCCCTCCCCATCCGCACAGGCTCTGCTCTGGCCATGCTGCACTCGGAGGAGGGGGAAGATGGGCTCTGTGCTCCACTCTGCCACAGCAGATGCCTCCCGTGGGTGGCAGCAGGGGCCTACAGATCTGGGTCCCTGGCATCTGGGGGACTCCTCTGGCAGGGCTGAGGAGGCTGTGGGTGGGGAGCGAGGGGCCTGGGCCTTGACCTGCATCCTCGTGAGCAAAGCGGGTAAGAGGAGCTCTGATTTTCCATGATAAAAAACCCCAAAAATCAAATGCCAAAACTTACAGGCACTTATAATTTATTTTATTTTAGTGATTGAGGCACTGGTAGGCTTCCAAATTGCAAATATATCGATAAAACATTGTGTTAAACTGATGCCTATATACAGCATTTCATTTTAATTGCGGATTTTGGGGGCGTTAATGAGAGGTTGAGATTTTTAAACAGAGAAAACCAGGATCCCTCCTTATAACTTATTTTCTTAATGCTATGGGCACATCTACATGTGCTATTAACGTGCCTTAAGCTTACTGAGTAATAAAATAAGATGCAGTAAACTTGCCCTAAGAACGCGTCTATACCTGCACCCTAACAGGCACAGATTTGCTCCCAATGGGGGTAGGCAGATCCAGGCCTGCTCCTTTCCTGCTGTCCCCCTGCAGCAGTCAGAAGGAGCTGCAGTTGCCCGGATACTAGGGGGCTCTGGCAGGGGCAGACGCAGCCTGGCTGGAGATGCTGTCTTAGGAGCCTGTGGCCAGTGTGCCATGGACGCTCCCTACCCTTCCTCTGGTAGTGGCAGACAGGGCACTGTGTCCACAAGATGCTTGAGGACCACCTCCTCCACCCCCTGCAGTAGGGCACCTGAGGAGCCACCCATGAACCCCAGGTCCACAGGGCAACTCCAAAAACCACGCATACTACGGGCAGTTTGTAACCAACACCAAACTTTATTTTCATCCACCACAATAACACACCCACACCCCCTGCAACACAGATCCCCTTCTTCCCCAACAGCACACTGCCTCCCTGCCAGCAACGCATCCTTCCCTAACCTCATCATGCATCAACAATAAAGGTCCTGCTTTCTGTGTGACTATGTACAATGTCCTTTCTGAACTGTAAGGGGGTGGGGGGAGAGGGGATCAGTGGGGTAGAAGTACAGCGATAAGTAGGTAGTAGGAGGCAAGGAGCCTGTCCTGGAAGGTGAGGACCTCCTGGTCCCTCTCTTGCTCCAGGTCCTAGGCTTGCCAAGCCCATGAATCCATGAGCCGCTCCCTTGCCACTGTGACCAGTCTGTCCAGCAGAAGGGTGTGGTCATGCATGTGCTGTGGTGGAGGCAGCACATGTGGAGGGTGCCAGCTGATGGTGGCAGTGTCCTGGCTGGTGACTGGTGCTTCTTCACTATGTGCAGCTGC